AGGAAAGGAAAGGAAAAGGAAAGGAAAGGGAAAAGGGAAAGGAAAAGGGAAAGGGAAAGGAAAAGGGAAAGGGAAAGGGAAAGGAAAAGGGAAAGGGAAAGGGAAAGGGAAAGAAAAGAAAAAAGAAAAGAGAAATCAATATTTGACAAGATTGTAGCAACTGTTTTAAAACATGGCATACAAGAGATCCTGGGTAAGTAAATTGAACCACCACAAGCCGGATACAAGTCCTATTTTTGTGTTGTTTAATTCTGGAAGCAACCACCTTCTCCTTAATAAAACTGGTTGACTTTACAAAAATCCAATTGGCATTGGTAAGTCAGTCTGATTGTGTTGTAGTAGATATTCATTTCTTTATTGAGATAATGGCAGTATCCAGTTTGGTCAAAATTAAGTCCTTTCTTGGTAAAATAGGAGTGGCCTCTCCAGGGCACAAGACTGGGCAATGGTACTTAGAGGTCTTGCACTGCCCAGATCACAAGAAAGCCTCCCTTTTTGTGTTAAACTAACAAGATCCAAAGGAATAAGCAGAAATTACATTTGGGGTTAGCTTCAATACAGGAATTTCCAGAATGTGGTCAGTGCTGACAGACAACTACTTTTGTAGTTCAGTTCTGGATTTTCTGTCTGGATATGACTGCAAGCCAGTGGCGGTTTAAAGTGATTCTCAGCTATGCATGCGTATGTGGAAGTAATTATGCTGCAGCATTAGTATTTGAATAAATGAATAAGTATTAAACTTTTTATTCAACATTATCTATAAAGGCTTTATCAGTTTTATTGCAATTTTCTACTTCTTATTTATGTAAATTAGGCTTCTCAATCCTAAATAACATCAAAAATAAGAAGTGAGAAAGACTATGCTTAACTGAAGAAGAAATGAGGGTCTGCTTATTGCACATTTGACAAAACAACAGGTATCATTCAAACTGGTTTTAATCATAGTGATTCTTCTGTCAAGTGTAATGAGAGCATTTGGCCTTATTGTCATTCAGAGCAGCAGCAGGCCTGCCATTGTTGAGCCTTTCACTAAGTCCAGTTTCTCCTTTCTCTAGAAGATTACCATTTGAGTTTGCAATCATATTTCTTTACTATTCTTACATGAAGTGCAGACTTTTCATAAATGTCCAATTATTTCCTGAAAATGTTTTCAACACTTTTTATAAATGTTTCTGAAATAGGAATTCAATGACAGCGATTTCGAAAGTGGATTGTGGGGTGGGGAAGATTTAAGATACCAATCCTTTGAAAATTAAATGAGAACCAACTCTACTGAGTTTTGTAAATATGAGCTGATTACCTTTACACATACAACACTAACAAAAACCAGCAACCAATTTTTTTTTTTTTTAAAATATCTATTTCCTGATGCAAGATGCTATTAAAGTCACTTTCATGCAATAAATATTTTTGTCAGAATTTTTAAAGTTTTAAAAAGAAATCATTAAGATGGCACTAGTCAGCTAAAAAACATTAAGAATATTCACCTGTTTTGGGATCGATATGTACAGGTGGAATCCCCATGTGAGCAGGGGGAGGTTGGCTGTAATCATTATTATACATCATAAGACTGGCCAATGGGGGCTGGACCATCGACATTTTGCCTCCCTACAGAAAAAAGAAAAAAAAAAAAGAAAAAACAAACATTAAGCATTTTAAAAAAAGTAACACTAGACATAAAATGCATGATATGTACAAACACATGAACATTTATTTTTAGTCAGTGGTAATAATAGAGATTTGTCCCTCTCCTCAGGATCTTGACCAATCATCAGAAATGGGAGGGGGTGGGTTGAGTATTTTGTACACAATTTTATCTTATTTTTTAAGGAGATAATAATGGCTTTAGCAATACATGACTTACTAATTAACCCATAGCTGGGGGAAGAACAATTTTCTCAAGGGTGTTTGTGTGTAAGTGAATATAATGATTAACAATTCTGAGCCGTTATCCATTGCACCAACCACACATTGAAGCTTACAGCACCTGATATTCCCAATCATCCATCTAGGTACTGATCAGGTATTGATAAACTTTGGTGATTGTATAGGAACCAGTGTTTCAACATGATATGGCCATAAACCTTAAAAATGTATCAGATTTGGGAAATGATAGTTCTTATCATGATTAATCAAACTCTGTTGTTGGGTCGGGTTTTGGTGAAGTGGTTCATGCAGAGAATTTTTCAGCACCCGCTCATAAAATAAACTGATTTGTAAACAGGCACTTGATCATTAGAATTTCAAAGATTAAAAGGTGCAAAATTTACTATCATTCATTTCCTATATAAAGTTTTATGAAATACGATTGACAAGGTAAAGAGATTAAGCTTTTTATTCAATTTTTCTTGCATTCATTCGTTTTATGTCTCGAAAAGAAAACAATGTATTGTGTTTTCTTTTCTAGACATAAAACATGTAAAAAGGACAGTCCAAATATTGTATAAATCTGAGAACTTTTGGCAGTTCTTTTAGTCCATTAGCAACCATGGGTTTTATTGGTTTTTGTTTTTTTAACTAATATTTTTTTTTTTACATATATGATGGGAATGCTCCCCCCACCCCCAACATGGTCAACACATTGTGTAAAAATAGCCAAAAATAATGAGGGGGAGGGAAGGAAAGAAAGAGGAGGAGAAGAGAGAGAGAATAAAATGGAAAAGAAAAAAAATTTTATTTTAAAAATCTCTCCCAAATCAAGTAATTATTGGATTTTATCGTACATACACTTATACACAATCACTATGGCTGCCTGATGACTGCATCTCATAATACATATAAAACTGTGTGTGTGTGTGTGTGTGTGTGTGTGTGTGTGTATATATATATATATATATATCTCCATTCATACACAGAGACCCAAACTTTCATTACAGAAACAGATACAAGAAGTACATGAACCTGACAAGATCACAAACTGATGAGTGAAGACTTTACAAAAGTAAAATGAAGTTTGAAGATTCAATATTCATGAACATAAAGAAAAAGCAAAAAAAATGTAAATAATATAAAGCAAAACAAAAAAACTCTTTGATAAGGGTTAGGGTTTATGAAAGTAGAAAGGACTCAGAAGACATTGAAGGATTTAGATTTCAAGTTTTCACTGAAAACAAGGAAAAGTGTGAAATATATATATATATGTGTGTGTGTGTGTGATTTCATTGGCTGTTTGGTTTCAAAACAGCCAAAGCAATCAATAATCTAATAAAGGGTGAACAAAGATTCAAGTAATATTGCAAAGAAAGTCAGAGAATGTGTAGAGAAAAGAGAAATGGGAGAGACGAGGAGAGAGAGAGACGAGAAACAAGGAGAAAGAACAAGAAAAAGACTAGAGTGACAATGAGAAAGAAATATATGAAAGCAGGATAAGATAGTGAGGGGTTGAACCCAAAGTGCAGAGATAAAGTGGAGGAAAAACATAACAGACAGAGAGAGCAGGAAAGGAAAGGAAGAGAGAGCAGGAAAGGAAAGGAAGAGAGAGCAGGAAAGGAAAGGAAGAGAGAGCAGGAAAGGAAGAGAGAGCAGGAAAGGAAGAGAGAGCAGGAAAGGAAGAGGGAGCAGGAAAGGAAAGGAAGAGAGAGCAGGAAAGGAAGAGAGGGCAGGAAAGGAAGAGAGAGCAGGAAAGGAAGAGAGGGCAGGAAAGGAAAGGAAGAGAGGGCAGGAAAGGAAGAGAGAGCAGGAAAGGAAGAGAGAGCAGGAAAGGAAGAGAGAGCAGGAAAGGAAGAGAGGGCAGGAAAGGAAGAAAGAGCAGGAAAGGAAGAAAGAGCAGGAAAGGAAGAGAGAGCAGGAAAGGAAAGGAAGAGAGAGAGCAGGAAAGGAAGAGAGAGCAGGAAAGGAAGAGAGAGCAGGAAAGGAAGAGAGGGCAGGAAAGGAAGAGAGGGCAGGAAAGGAAAGGAAGAGAGGGCAGGAAAGGAAAGGAAGAGAGAGCAGGAAAGGAAGAGAGAGCAGGAAAGGAAGAGAGAGCAGGAAAGGAAGAGAGAGCAGGAAAGGAAAGGAAGAGAGAGCAGGAAAGGAAAGGAAGAGAGAGCAGGAAAGGAAAGGAAGAGAGAGCAGGAAAGGAAAGGAAAGGAAGAGAGATCAATTAACAATACTTTAAAAAGGACAGAGTGTCATTTAAATAAAATGGAGGAAGTTTTACAGCAACAAGATGGTTAAGTAAACGTTTTCTCAATTCCTCTTGCTGCGCACACAACTGACTGACGGACCAAACAACAAATGAATGAATGCAAGCACCAATATGAAAGCAAAATGTCAATCAGTTTCAACAAATACAACAATCAACAAGTCTTTACTTTCCCATTTTTTGTTTTTTCTACTTCTTCTCTCTCCACAAAGGCAGTTCCTTACAAGACTCAGTGTGTGCGTGTGTGTATGTCCCTTAATCTAAGATTAAAAAGATCACAACAGCATCAAGGCCTTTTTAATTACACAGACACAAGCATGTGTGTTTTTCTTCCACGAAAAGCTTTTCAATATGAATTGAAAGGTGATGTCCTATAGGCGGACATCTGTGTTTCGTGTCAACATGAACGGAATATTTAACTTTCTTGTTGGAGGTTAAGAAGTGTTAACATGTTCTCGTCTCTTGGTTGTATAACTGAGATGGACCAGGTGCTTAAATACTTGTGGCCTTGTATCAGACAAAGATGGTTAAATAATTAAATAATCAATAAAAGAGAGAGAAAGGGGGAAAGAGAGAGAAAGGGGGAACGAAAAGGACATTCAGAGAGAGAGAGAAAGGGGGGAAAGAAAGGACATTCAGAGAGAGAGAGAAAGAAAAGGGGGGGAAAGAAAGGACATTCGGAGAGAGAGAAAGAGAAGGGGGGAAGAAAGGACATTCGGAGAGAGAGAGAGAGAGAGAGAAAGGGAGGGAAAGAAAGGACATTCGGAGAGAGAGAGAGAGAAAGGGAGAGAAAGAAAGGACATTCGGAGAGAGAGAGAAAGAGGGAGAAAGAAAGGACATTCAGAGAGAGAGAGAAAAAAGGGGAAAGAAACGACATTCAGAGAGAGAGAGAAAGGGGGGGGAAAAGGACATTCGAGAGAGAGAGAGAAAGGGGAGGAAAGAAAGGACATTCGGAGAGAGAGAGAGAGAAAGGACATTGGAGAGAGAGAGAGAAAAAGGGAAAGAAAGGACATTTGGAGAGAGAGAGAAAGGGGGAAAGAAAGGACATTTGGAGAGAGAGAGAAAGGGGGGAAAGAAAGGACATTTGGAGAGAGAGAGAAAGGGGGAAAGAAAGGACATTTGGAGAGAGAGAGAAAGGGGGAAAGAAAGGACATTTGGAGAGAGAGAGAAAAGGGGGAAAGAAAGGACATTCGGAGAGAGAGAGAAAGGGGGAAAGAAAGGACATTCGGAGAGAGAGAGAAAGGGGGAAAGAAAGGACATTCGGAGAGAGAGAGAAAGGGGGAAAGAAAGGACATTCAGAAAGAAAGATAAAAGTTGTAGAAAATAGAAAAAAAAATGCAAAGTGGAAATGGGAAAAGGACTGAATGAAACAACAAAAAAAGAAGCCCACAAGAGGGAGAAAGAGAGACAGAGAGAGAGAGACATAAATGTACAACAAAAAATGATTGTGAAGGAGGAGACATAAACAAGGAATCAAATGAGACTTTTTTTTGAATGACCAAAGAAAGAATGAAAAGCAAAACCACAAATATAGTCAACAAGGCTGCATAAACGAAAAGGAAAAATAAACAAAAAAGCTCAAATTTTGAGAAAAATCATTTACATAAAACTAAAACAAAAAGAGAGAAAAAAAAAATCCCAAACACAAAGTAAATAGAATTTAAGACACTACAAATGAAAATAAAACAGCCAATCAAATCCTTACAATCTTCAGCCAATCAAATCTTTACAATCTGCAGCTGTAAATGTTACAAAAACAATTACAGACACAAATCTAAGGAGAATTGTAGACATTGACGGAGACGGAAAAAGATTTTTTTCTTTTTTTGAGACGATTATATAATTAGCATAAAGTATTTTAATACTGTTGATCATGTAACAAGTTTAAACCTAGAACATTGATGAAAATCACCTTTTTTCCCCTTCCTTCTTGTTTCTAAGGCATTTCCCAAACTCTTTCTTTCTCCAGATGCTAAGTTAATAATAATATTTAAGAGTTTTTATGGCAATTCTTGACAAGTCGTTAAGCTCAGATCAATTTCCCCCAAGTTTTCTGTTGGATGTATGTCAGACAACAAGAAAAGTGTCAATGAATACAATGTAGATTTTACGAATTTTGGAAAAGTAAAGATAAGAGAGAGAGTGAGAAGATAAAAGGAGAGAATCAGTGGAAAGGCAAACACGAGTGGGGGGGACATGGAGGAAGGGCAAACACGAGTGGGGGGGGGGGACATGGAGGAAGGGCAAACACGAGTGGGGGGGGGACATGGAGGAAGGGCAAACACGAGTGGGGGGGACATGGAGGAAGGGCAAACACAGTGGGGGGACATGGAGGAAGGCAAACACGAGTGGGGGGACATGGAGGAAGGGCAAACACGAGTGGGGGACATGGGGGGGAAGCAAAATGGAGATATGAATTAAAATAACAATTTCTTTGATACTGTGTTATATTTTGGTAGGTGAAGAAAATCCTTCTGCACAAAATAAAAATTTGCTACAAAATATTTCTTTCTTCTAATTCACCTAACTGCAGAAAAACATATTCAAATCTATCAAAGAAACGTGAGGATTAATTTTCTAGAAATTTCACATTTTACATGACAAAGTCTCTGACAGTTCTTGTTACAAAATATGGAAGAAAAGTTTTGCTCAATATGAGAATGATTTTTATTATTATTAACCTTTATCACCCTGCAATATTCCTAAGTATTTCATCCATTATGGGTATAAGTGGTTAAACAACTACAGTAACATTATCTTTGATTTTCAGTTAGTCATTTTCCTGTTGTTATAGCTGGATATGACAACACTAGTACAAAATTCAACCACACTATTGTCTGATGATTAGAGTTGCATGCAGTGGCTGTACAAATATTTTGTTTGACAAATGAAGTCATCTACATTCTTTTTCTTTTCTCATCACAACTGTTTTATCTGAAATCCATTGGTGGCACAACAAACGGTTGTAAATGTAAGTTACTCCATTAACCAATAAATGGTCAAGTATTTATCACATTCCAACATTTTTTTTCACTGATGTGTGAACAATGAGGATTCCCCAGAAACTAAATAGCATTGTGTGCAGAGGACAAAATGAGGACAAGGCAGTAATATCAAAAAAGGGGGACATCCCAAACTTAATATGATTCAGTGTTTAATAGCTAAGTAGTAAAAATGTTAATTCATGCCATTTCATGACAGATGTGTTAAAAATGTTCAACATTGATTTAAAAGAAATATAAATACTAATCATTAAGTATGGCTAAAAACCCACTGAATGAGACATTTATCGATAAAAAGGACATTTTTCTTATAGACTCCTTTGACTAAATTCTAAATTGGATCCTGGAAAAAAACCAAAAAAAAAATACAAAAAAAAAAACTGAACAGTGATTTACAAAATCTATGTTCAATCTTGAAATATATGCTCTGGCATAAATCTATTTCTACAACCTTAAAATGAAATGTTTTTTTTTTCCCTTTAAATTTGTAATTATTTAAATGAACAGCTCTGTCCATTAAATACAATGATAAACCAAAGCCTGTGACCAAAGCACAGTTACCAACAAAAGAGACATACCAACGAAAGAGACATACCAACGAAAGAGACATACAATCGAAAGAGACGTACCAACGAAAGAGACATACAATCGAAAGAGACATACCAACGAAAGAGACATACAATCGAAAGCAAAGATTGACAAACATTAAAAACAATAAAGCAGACATATTTAATTGATGAAAATGGCAACATGAGCTGGCATTGTGACAAAAGAAGCCATATTGGGTAGTGTGCATGAAGGTGAAAATTAAGGGGAACTTAAAAGAGAAAAAACTAGAGATAGTAATGAAAGAATTTCACTCAAAGAATATATGGTTGTCAACAAGAAAAGAAGCCCAAAATATGATCTAAGAATTGGAGATGTCTGAATTAAACAAATAGAGAAGTTTAAATATCTGGGAAGCGTTTTAACAGAGGATGGAAAGTTTGGCACCAAAATCCAAACATACATTGGAATAGGCAAAGATGCACCCTGAAAACTAAGCAAAGAAACAGAAAAATTTTTTGTTAGAAACAAGGAAAAGAGTGCCGAATCTTTATGCCATATCAGTTCAGTGAATGCTAAACAATTTCCTCACCAATGAAGACTGGAGACAGCAGAAATGTAACTACAGAAGGATGCTGAGAATACAGTGAACAAAGCATGTAAGCAATATGAATGTCATAAGGGAAAAGGAAACAAAAATGACACTCAAAAAGAGGCCAACAGAAATTTCCAAGACACATAATGAGGAAAGAGAGCCAGGAAAATTTGACACTCACAGGGACATTCCGAAGGCAACAGAGACATGGGGAGGCAGTCAGTCATCTATATGAGTTTATGTGAATGGATGGCAGAACAAAGAATTTTTTTTTATAGACCTTTACTCCAAAGCTTCTTGAATGTACACAACTAAAGACGTTACTATTTATTTATATATTACCAAATATATAATTGATATTATTCCGCCATACTTTTTGTTTCTGGCATCAAAAAAAAAAAAAAAAAAAAAAAAAAAAAGAACATACAAGTTTTGAGACTCTGACAATTTTTTAATTGAGACATTTGAAACTGGCCTGCTTGCAAAGTTAAAAAGAAAATAAAACAATAGCAAAACTGGTTTAAGCATTTTAATTGTAGCGGAAAGAACAGCATTAACCTACTAATGTCTCATTGCACCATTTTTAGGATGGCAAACATTAATGGCTTACTCAAAAGACCTGTGAAAATTTCACGGTTTTCCTATTTGAATTTTCTGATGAATCTTAATTCTTCAGTTAATGATTGAATAAGCTCATGGTGAGTTCTATGACAATAAAATATCCGTAGAAATTCTCCTATCGCATTGTAAAATATTTGAGCTTAACAACTTTAACAAAACAAGAAAGACCCTTGATAATTTCAAGGTTTTCCTACTTGAATTTTATGATGAATCTTAATTCTTCAGTTCATGATTGAATAAGCTCATGGCAAGTTCTACGACAATAAAATAAGACATTGCAATAACAATCACAAATATGAATGCTGGTCATTATTTTAAGAAGTGGGTACGAATGAAAAATATGAAATTGATAACTTTCCTATTTCACAGGAACAGCCATTAAATACTTTTATCTTTACTTTCTTTGTTTTATTCATTTGTCTCACTGAAACCAAGTAGATATCTTGTTTTTCTATGCAATCAAAATGAAATTATTTATTAGGTATCGGCAGGAGAAATTAAACATTTCTATCTTCCCTTTCTTTTTCGTCATTCAATACTGAACATCTGAAAAATGGTACTTTTATCTTGTATCTCGGCAATTTGGTTGAGATCAAAGTATAGTATCTGTTCTTATCAGCTTAATCTGACTATCTCTCCACTTATATCTTTCTTTAATTTTCCCTCTCTATCTATGCGATCGAAACAAAGAGAGAGAGACACGCATGATTTAATAGGATAGACCAGCCAGTTATGTGCCATGGAATACATGTTTAGGTGATCATGCATCTTTTGATACATGACTGACGAGGCAGATTTTTATCTGCAGTAGGTTGACATTTTTTTCTGCAATAGACCAGTTGCCATCCAAGGTTATAGAATCCGGTCTGACCCAATGCTGCGAGGGAGAAGAAGAGGATTCATACCTTTCCCAAGGATATTAGCACATAAGTGAATGTAATGGATTCGACTGGAATTCGAACTTTGCTCTCTGATTCCTCAATCCGAGCCGCTATCCATTACTTCACCATGCCTCCAATAGGATAGGTAGAAACCTAAAAAAATTCATTTTTCTTTAAATAAACCTATCTTAATACATATTATTTTTTTTAAGAAACCTGTAATTAAAATGGATTTCATTTTCTCATCAAAACCAAACAGGATCTCTGGTACACCTTGTTTTTTATCATCTTTACTCACAATTAAAATAGAATGGACCATTATTTATCTAACGTAATTGTAGGTCATAATTTTTATTTTTTTTTATATAATGATGCTCACTTCTACAAAGCAGCTAGATGATTTTATTTACAAGGATGTTCACCCTGTTTAAATCCCAAGAACCACTCGAGGTAGTAGATTACAGAGTAAGAGGCACAGTCTATTGGGATACATGGGGGAAGATAACGGTTGACCATAGACTTGATCAGATTACAATTGTAACAATCAGGAATGCATCCTATTGGGACTCAGTTCCACAAAGCAGCAGTTCTTGGGAAGTTTCTTGAGTGGAACTTACATCTCACCAATGGAGTACAAAAGGTGGTTCCTTACAATGTACATGGTAAAGCATGGCGGGTCTTAACCAGAAATGTTAGAACAGAGATGGCCAAACTGCAGTTCAAGAGCCACATGCAACTCTTTGACATTTAATATGCAGCTCATGGAAATATGTTGACTGGGCTCCTTTTTTCATCACAGTTAATATAAAAAGTAAAAAAAACATGTTAAGCTTTATAATTATTTACTTGGTATGAATTGGGATGCAATTGGAATAAAACCTAAGTTTAATGTTCATGCTTAGTAAAAATATTTAAGAATCCTAATTTCATGTTTTGCAGCACTCAAACGTGTGAACTTTATCATATGTGACTCTTACATTAAGCAAGTTTGACAACCCCTGGGTTAGAATTATCAGAACGAAGAAATGTAGTTCGTTTGGATGACTTCCATGAAAACTTACTAACAGAGAAGAAGTAGAAATAGTCAGAAAGCATTAGGGTTGAGAAATGAGCAGATACTACACTTTGATCCCGATTAGAAAAACAACACGGCTGTACATGTGAAAAAGATGAAAGCTTTAAGGGCGGTGTCTTGTGAGCAGGCAGGAGATTCAGATGGAAAATGTTTGCTGCTTTTCAGATTCTGAGTATCTGCACACGTAAACGATACAATTTTCGATGTGAAATCTCACCCTCTTCTCTGTAAGGGGTGGGATTTTATAACAGACTTGCAGAACCAGCAATTGGTGGAATCAAAGACTTTTGGATGTTGTGGAAGTGGTAAGGGGCAGGAAGAAATATTTAGAGAGATGGAATTGGAAAGAGTTTGGTGGAGTGGGGGTGATGGGGCTGACAGTGGGCAGAGAGACAAAATGGAAAAAAAACAACAAAAAAAAAAACCCGGGTGCAGAAACAGTTCAAAAGAAAATAAAGAAAGAAAGGGAAAAAAGTGGAGTGGGGACAGAGAGAGTGTAATTTTCGAAGAAACGAACAAGATAGAGGGTGAGATGAATTTTTTGCGTGAAATTGCAAAGAGAATAAAAGGGCTGGATGGTGTGTAGAGGATAAAGGATAGGCGAGATAAGATTTGAAAAAAGATTTTAAAACAGCAAGAGGATTTTTAAATGAGTAGAAAAATTTCATTTTTTGGGAAGATTCTTGAATATGGAGAAAATGAATGTGAAAATTTGTGGGTATCGTGCAGAGAGAAAAAGAAAGAAATAAAGAGAGGAGAGAGAAAAAAAGGAGAGAGGGAAGAAAGGAGGAGAGAAGAGGAGAGAGGGAAGAGGAGAAAGGAAAGAAAGGAGGAGAGAGGAAAGAAAGGAGGAGAGAAGAGGAGAGAGGGAAGAAAGGAGGAGAGAAGAGGAGAGAGGAAAAGGAGGAGAGAAGAGAGAGGGAAGAAAGGAGGAGAGAAGAGGAGAGAGGGAAGAAAGGAGGAGAGAAGAGGAGAGAGGGAAGAAAGGGGAGGAGAGAAGAGGGAGAGAGGAAGAAAGGAGGAGAGAAGAGGAGAGAGGGAAGAAAGGAGGAGAGAGGAGAGAGGGAAGAAAGGAGGAGAGAAGAAAGGAGGAGAGAAGAAAGGAGGAGAGAAGAAAGGAGGAGAGAAGAAAGGAGGAGAAAAGAAAGGAGGAGAGAAGAGAGAGAGAGAAGAAAGGAGGAGAGAGAGAGAAGAAAGGAGGAGAGAGAGAGAAGAAAGGAGGAGAGAGAGAGAAGAAAGGAGGAGAGAGAGAAGAAAGGAGGAGAGAGAGAGAGGGAGAGAAGAAAAGAGGAGAGAGAGAGAGGGAGAGAAGAAAAGAGGAGAGAGAGAGGGAGAGGGAGAGAGAAGAAGAGGAGGAGAGAGGGAGAGAGAAGAGGAGGAGAGAAGAGAAAAAAGAAAGAGAGAAATGAAAAAAGAAAGAGACTGTCCCAATGCAT